AGACTTGCCAACTCCTTGAAGACTTGAGTAAAACGCCTTTCAAATTTACTGTCTAGGTTCTGAGAGACAGACTACGGTGTTAGTATCGCATTGAGAATTAACTCGTAGAGGGAATCCCGCTGGGGTCAGTCTGGGCCAGTGTAATCGGATATACTCCTGACTCTCGACTGGTGAGTGACTGGGTGAGTGAGTGAATGAGTGAGGGAGTGGGGGAGTGGGTGTGTGGGTGTGTGGTTGGTGGGTGGGTGAGTGACGGTCGATCATGACTGTGGTCTGTAAATAATCGAATCCTAATCAAACGATCCAGTGATTGATACCAAGAGAAACGATTCACGCTGCCGTGGCACATTCATACGCCAACAACCCGATCAGTTCAATTCAGTCACGAGTTACCTCACACAACTTACCCTGTTGCATCGCCTATATACTACAATGCATATTTTCAAACTGACAATGGATACTATCACAATCCTTCCTTGACATTGAAAATGTCCATATTGATCATTATCCTATCTCGGTCTACATTGTTTGGAGCTGCATTTTTCTTCACACTTAAAATGTCGTGTATTTGTAGTTTTTTTGTAGTGTATTTGTTGTTTTTCACACGAATGTATGCGGACGTCCACATACATGTACAACGATAATGTACATATTAACTTTTAAAGAAAGAATAACCTTAGGTACAGTTATCGGATTTACTACATGTACAACACGAGTAGAGTTGTCTAGACACAACGGACAGGCTAGGCGTCGACGGATAACAGATACAAAGTAATCGAATTGATTCAGGACTAAACAGATATTTTTTTAATGTTATATTATGATTTGCGTTAACTAGAAACAAACTGATTAACTTGGACAATCGTTATTGCTAATGATTGATTAAGAAACTATATGTACATGTACGTAAACACCACAATCATCATGTAGTTCACGTTCACTCGACTAGGACACATTTCCTAACCCTTATCAAGGACCAAAATGTCTCAGTGCAGATTTCAGACCTCCCAACATGCACTAGGGGATGAATGCGCTTATATAGACTTGCTTATTATACAAAAAGGTAGAACTACTATATACACCAATGGAGCTATCATTCAGTAAAGGGGGCGGTCAGGTAGCCTAGTGGTTAAAGCGTTCGCTCGTCACGCCGAAGACCCGGGTTCGATTCCCGACATGGGTACAATATGTGAAGCCCATTTCTGGTCTCCCCCGCCGTGATATTGCTGGAATATTGCTAAAAGCGGCGTAAAACCATACTCACTCACTCACTCATTCAGTAAAGCCTTGGAGCAAGGCTAACTACAGACAGTGGTGAAAGGAAAACGGGCAGCAGGAGCAAGCTCCATCTGTATAAACCAAGAGGTTATTCCAATCATCAGAGTCCTATGGGCCTCATCAGTAGATCCCAACCTGTTCCCCTGTCACGAGATGAGAGAAACATGATATTTCACGAGATACATGGAATATCCTATTTATTATATACTTTTTGTGCAGTTGACTACCAGAAAATTAGACTAGATCATTACAAAGGTAAAACCTTAAAACGTAATTTCACCGGTTCACACACCCTTGTATTTGTGACTTAAAAATTAGTTTCGTGTTGCAAAATCTTAAAAAGTATGAACAAAAGAATCAAACAAATATTTAGGGTCAAGATAATTCTTTATCATACATTTCGATATGATTATATACAAAATCAACTTTAACAAAAAATATTCTTGAATATTAGGAGACCACTGAGAGAAGCGAAAGAATATAGGCTGGTCAAGTAACAAAAATGGTGCTTTGCGAAACGAACAGTCACGATTGAAGAGTTAAATGAATGATTTGCAGTTCATATCAAAACATTTTCGAGAGAGTAATAAACGGCTATAAGTGAATAACTCCTTATATGACCATCCGTTAATATTTTGCCTTGTCAATGTGGAACTAACGTACAAAGGGAACGTTAACGGGCTAGTCACTTACGACAAAGGGAGATAATTAAAGGGGAGGTACCTCTTGTATAACAATAGTTCCGTCAAAGTGTATTGTTAGAATGTAAACTTAAGTAACCGTGTATTGATATTTTATGGACGTTTTATTTGCACTATTATATGCTTTATACATGTATGTTAACCGGAAATGATGATCAGATTTAACTGCCCCTGATGTTTGAATATATGTGTCTGTTGACATTCATGCATCGTCGATGTCAGACATGTGTACGGCTCTGTGAATAAATCTTTCATCCAACGAGAGTAGTTGAAGCCTCTATCAAACAAAAGGTTAGAAGTATGGCGAATTCAACAGGTTATGGGCCCAGGCAACGTTTGCTGTTTGATTGAGATGAAACAAAATACGAATTATGGGAAGTAAAATTTCTTGGACATATGAGATTGCAGAAACTTTATAATGTGATTGTAGCACCCGAGGAAGGTTCGGGAACAGCCGCTAAAAATGCTGATGCTTTCGCTGAGTTGGTTCAGTGTTTAGATGACAGAAGTTTGAGCCTGATAATGAGGGACGCAAAAGACGATGGGAGACGGGCGTTGGAGATTTTACGGGAGCACTACCTTGGACGGGGTAAGCCACGAATAATATCATTCTACACAGAGCTTACGTCGTTGAAGATGGGCGACCATGAATGTGTTACGGACTACGTAATTCGAGCAGAAACTGCATCGACTTCGTTGAAACTGGCAGGAGAGACAATCAGTGACAGTTTATTGATAGCCATGGTTCTAAAAGGACTCCCTCCCTCTTTCAAGACGTTTTCAACTGTGATCACGCAGAAGGAGAAGCAAGTGACGTTTGTCGAGTTCAAAACGGCTCTTAGAAGCTATGAAGAAACGGAAAAGATTCAACCTACACCGAATTATGAAAACAGTGTCATGAACTTTAAATGTTTCTCATGTGGGAAGCCAGGACACAGGGCATCGGAGTGTAGAAGTAGAAATCAAGGTTATGATGGTGGTGAAAAGAAAGGTTACCGTGGACATCAGAAACAAGACGGTTATCATAGTGTACAGAAGAAACACGCATCAAGTTACAGTGGACAGAAGAGATTGGGTAGATGGTGTGATGTTTGCAAGAACTCTTCCCATGACACCAGGGTCTGTCGTAGACGAGACTCTGCCAAGACTGCCTGTGATAAAGAAGAACAAGAACATTCGTAAAGGGAATGAAGATAGCAGGTAAAGATACTGAGCTATGTGACACCTGTATCCAAGGGAAGATGTCGCAGTGGAGAAATAGAGATCCAGACAGAAGGGCGACAACTCCACTTGAAGTTATTCATTGTGACTTGGCAGGACCTATTGACCCAGCAGCTCGAGGTGACCTTCGATATGTATTGTCATTTGTTAATGACTATTCTGGAATAATCACCTTGTGTCTCCTGAAGCAGAAGAGTGATACTGCCGCAGCAACGGCGAAGTTCCTTGCAGATCTAGATATATCACCTTTTGGAAAAGTTGGAACAATAAGGTCAGACAACGGTAAAGAGTTCACATGTGAGAAGTTTAGAAGTATCCTCACAAAGAACAGCATCAGACATCAGAAGTCTTCACCATATTCACCACATCAAAATGGGACTGTTGAACGTGCCTGGCGTTCACTGTTTGATATGACGAGATGTCTGCTGATAGAAGCCAAATTACCCAAGTCGCTGTGGTCCTATGCTGTTATGACAGCAGCATACATCAGGAATCGGTGTTACAACCAGAGACTGAACATTACTCCTTTCGAAGCAATGACAGGTGAGAAGCCCAACCTGTCAAATATGCATGTGTTCGGTACAACGTGTTTTGCATTCGTTCAAAACAAAAAGAAACTGGACAAACGGAGTGAGAAAGGCTTCTTTGTTGGATACGACAGAGAAAGTCCTGCTTATCTTGTGTACTTTCCTGAGAGAAATGAAGTAAGAAGAGTGAGATGTGTAAAGTTCACAGAAAAGTTTGAAGAAAGTGTATCTCAGCCTGAATATGAAGAACATTTAGTGTACAGGAAGAATGAAAATGGAGAGGAAACTGAACAGAATCAACAAAATGAACGACAGCAAGAATGTGTGCAGAATGAAGTCCAACAACATGGTAACAGAGAACAGGAAACGAGAAGATATCCCAGGAGAGAGACCACCAGGCCCAAGTACCTGCAGGATTACGTCACAGGGTCTGACTTGTCAGGATCTGAGACGGAAGATAGTTCAATGTATACTGTGGATTACTGTTACAAGGTGGCTGGTATTCCTGGATCATATTCTGCAGCAATGTCTTCATGTGATGCACCCAAGTGGCAGAAGGCAATGCGTGAAGAGATGGACGCTCTGAAAGAAAATGAGACATTTGAAATCACCACATTACCAGAAGGTAGATCTACAGTGGGGGGAAGATTGGTGTTTGCTGTGAAATCTTGCCCCGATTCTGAGAAATACAAGGCAAGGTATGTTGCAAAGGGATACTCACAGGTGCATGATATCGACTATAAAGAGACTTTTGCCCCAACTGCTAAAATGACGTCAATTCGGACTCTGATACAACTTGCAGTTCAGAAAGATATGGTGGTACATCAGATGGATGTGAAGACAGCATACTTGAACGCACCCATAGACTGTGAGATATATGTGCAGCAACCGGAAGGTTTTGAAGTTAAGCCACAGACTGGGGAGAAACTTGTTCGGAAGTTGAAGAAATCCCTGTATGGCCTAAAACAAAGTGGAAGGAATTGGAATTCCTTACTTCAGACGTTCCTAGTTGAAGATCTGAATTTGAACCAATCACTTGCTGACCTTCGTGTGTACCACGGAACGACTGAAGATTCATTCGTAATTATGGTAGTGTGGGTCGATGACATCATCATTTGTGCTGAGAAGACGGCCATACTTCATGGGATAAAAGATTCTTTGTGTCAGCGATTCAAGATGAAGGACTTTGGGAAGCTGTCATGGTTTCTGGGAAAAGAGTTCAAGTGGAAGAACAACAGTGTTGAATATGAACCAGAAAAGACATATTGAGAAGATGCTGGTGAAGTTCAACATGATGGACTGTAAACCCAAGACAACTCCATGTGATCCCGGCGCTGACAAAGAAAGAGAGACAACTGCAATTGAACTGGGCGATCCCAGACTCTACAGAGTGATTGTTGGAAGTCTGATCTATATTATGACTGCTACGAGACCAGACCTGTGTTATATTGTGACCAAATTGTCACAGTATATGGCTAAACCCACAACAACACAGTTGGGCATGGCAAAACACACTCTGAGGTATATCAAAGGTACAGCTGAACAAGGACTGACGTTTGTAAAATCATGTGATCCTCTACAACTTGTGGGATTCTGTGATGCTGACTGGGGTTCATCTGCAGACAGGAGAAGCATCACTGGCTACGGATTCCAGTTGAAAGATAATGGACCCTTGATATCCTGGAAAAGCAAGAAGCAGACGACTGTGGCATTGTCAACGTGCGAGGCAGAGTACATGGCAATGGCTGCAGCAATATAAGAGGGGAAGTTCCTGCGACAGCTGTGGAGAGATATGACTGGTCAGTGTAAAGGTGTAACATTGATGGTGGATAATCAGGGAGCAATAGCACTTGCCAAAAATCCAGTGACTCAGCAAAGATCAAAACACATTGACATTAAATATCATTTCATCAGAAATGAAGTGCAGAACAATGTGATTGAACTGAAGTACATTGAGTCAGGGTGCAATGTGGCGGATGTGTTCACAAAACCAGTGTCATGTAGCAGGATGAGGAAACTCATCAGTGTGAGTGGTGTATGAAAATACAGTGTTTGTAAATATGGAGAGAAATGCAGTGTTTGCAAATAGACACCATATGTGTATATATGTGTTTATTGCCTGTAGCATGTTAAATAAAACAAAAACAAGTTACTGACTTAAGTTTAAGTGGGGGTGTTAGAATGTAAACTTAAGTAACCGTGTATTGATATTTTATGGACGTTTTATTTGCACTATTATATGCTTTATACATGTATGTTAACCGGAAATGATGATCAGATTTAACTGCCCCTGATGTTTGAATATATGTGTCTGTTGACATTCATGCATTGTCGATGTCAGACATGTGTACGGCTCTGTGAATAAATCTTTCATCCAACGAGAGTAGTTGAAGCCTCTATCAAACAAAAGGTTAGAAGTATGGCGAATTCAACATGTATTGTTCACTGCATTGAAATATCAAGTGTTATGTTATCTGCTGTGAAATATCAAGTGTTATGTTATCTGCTGTGAAATATCAAGCGTTATGTTCACTGCAATGGAAATATCACTTTTCTTTCACGCTGAACTATATAATAAAATGTTACTACACACTGTAAAATAAGGAAGCACTGAAGGGACATGGAAAGGAGAAAACAATAATTGTATGTCGTGCACACGAGAAACTAAAGTGTGCGCACTATATGGTATAATGTGCCCACGAAATGAAGAGACGTTATTATAAAAAAACAAGTATATATCATATCGTGCGCACGATATACTATTCCGTGCGCGCGAAATGAAGAGACATGGTTAAAAAAATATGTTACATCCTGCGCACGAGATATTAAACCGTGCGCACGAACAAATACAAGCCATTTATTGAAAGCATAAAGCCAGAACATTGCACTTCAAATAGTGTAGACATCCGGCCATGGCAATTCAGGAATGTTGTGCTGCCTCATAAGGTATGTTACAACATGTGAAAGCTGTGGGCGGACTGCAAAATGACCTTACGTCCCTGCATTTGCACATAAAGTAGCGTACTCCATTGAAATTGCCATTAACAATAATGAATTGTGTTTTCCCGTAATTTGTGATGCGACCCGTTACTATTACACTTCCACTCCCGCAAGGACACCGTTGAGTATCACAAAAACGTTCTCCTGGATGCCGCAGACACTTCCACGACCATCGGAGCTGTCCAGATGAAACCTCGACTCATCTGTGAAAAGGGTATTTTCCCAGTGTTGTCGTTGAAGCCTCAGGGCCGGATGTTGTGCTCCCTCAATTGGTTGCGTACGGTTCTGCAAATACTTGATCTCAAACCAAGAATTATCCAAATTGTCCAAACTGGCAGTTTGGTATCGATTCTGCATATGGTTGTCTTGTTGACGTAACGTCACTCGTGGACGACCGGCCATTGGCAAGTCATGTGTGTTGCCCTGTTGTAGATATAACGACTCCAAAGAAGTGATATTGCGTTTCGACGAACATTAAAAATCTCTGCCAACTTCATTTTGCGCCAATCCTAGTGTAGCATGCCACAGACGCAAAGACATTGGTGTAGAGCTAACCGTGGCATTGCGTGAGCGTTAAGTACAGTTAAACAGAAATGTTTTAGGACCACCTTTTAGTTAAACAATAAGTGTGTGCTAATCACATTCAAACCAAACACGTGTGTAACTGGCATGATTATGTATTGCAAGGTGATTTCTTTAAAATCAAAATATATGTATTCTTATTGAACTTTTTGAAAAAAGGATAGTTTCTTTTTCCGTTGGTATATACACCATATACCCGCATATTGTTTTCTATTATCAATTTTGGAACAATATCCTTTTAGCCACTTTAAGCATGGATATCCTTTTAGATATAACACCAATACAGATATGAACATCTGTTCATGTATGTATTGGCGAAAACATATCCCGAGGTCGATATTCTGCTGTAACCAAGAATAAACCCGCTATAAAAGCACATTAACAGTGTTATCTAATGTTTTATCTTCATGTAACAGAAAGTGTCTAAATGAAGTTTGTGGACAACAAGCCGACGTACTGGACGCCAAACGTATGAGTAGACTTCTTACAAGGACTACATGTAACCTAACGTTATGCGCTACACATCAGCAGAACATGTTTGAGGTCGAGGTATTAGTGTTACGCGCGCACGTTTTGTGATAGCGTGTGCACGATATACTTTTCCCAATAAGTCAGTTCATTTCGTGAGCACAGTATAATATTTGGTATGCACATTTTAACACAATTATAATTATTTTTAATGCACACAATACTACATCGTGCGCCCACTTTAGTATGTCGTGTGCATGATATATACTACTGTTTTCTCCATTTCATGTCCCCTCAGTATTACAGCTTCTAATGTCCTGGCTCTTCATTGAAAGGATGCCCAAGAATGGGATTGGTAATGAGTTCCAATATATGCCGATGTGAGAGCCTAAATGCATGATTAACAATAATGCTCTTGGTCAATACATGTTGCCAAATGTTTGACGTATATTACCGGTAGGAATTGGAATGTATTATTGGTACACGTCGAAAGCTTTTCATGGACAAAATGTCTTTTACGCTCGGCAATAGCGATTACTGGCATCACCGTGTGTGTTCCATAATGTTTCCGTGGTTTGCTAAGGTAATCAATTCGCATGTCTAGCAGGAATCGCAAAACTAGTCCGTTCTCCATGCGAAACTGACACCTAGCCTGTCTCCTAGTCTGTCTCACAGTCCCTAAACTATATTAAGTTCCTTTTCGCCCAGCCCCTTCTGTAAGACAAAAGTCTCAATGAAGCTAGTTTAGTTTTTACTCAGGTTCCGGGTCTGTTATCTGCACGAAAACTAACTCACTTAAGGGTATGGATTTCTGAGTAACTGTCACGGCTGCTGGACCAACATCTTGACCAGGAATCTATTAACTATTTTAGCACAGCAAGCAAACGCAAGAAACTAGAGAGGCTAGAACCTATAGTCCTGCACCATGTGTGTGAAATATGTATGGGGCCTTACACACAGTCTATAATCTTCAATAGGCAAGTCTAGCTATATCTGCCTTTAATTCAAGACTGCTTATAAATTTTATTTAGTAAGTATTAGTATTTCATTGCCTTAATCGTGGTCTGGCTGGGGGTCCTAACTTATTCAAACACACATGGCAGCCTATGCTCCATCGTAACTATGATTAAGGCTTAATTCTAAAACACAAGTATTTCTTTTGCCTGGGCCGGTACAGTTTTTAGGTGTCAAATGATTGCAACTCCAGCTAGGGATGGCAGGAAATGTAACACCTTTCTTTGTAATGCTCTGGTCGCACGAACTGATAGGCCACATGTTAGCAAATGTAGTTCCATGAGTTTTGTACAACACAAGTTTCTTTAAAGGACGACATCAGCTGATTGACGTTTTCACGTCCCCTTGTCGCTACACTGATGCAGTTATTACACATGATGTGTGTATAGCAGTCTCTCGGTATAAAACCTAAAGGATATCTGCAAATTGAGACAGTTGCCGTTTTTTCTCTTCCATTGTAACGTATTCTTCTGTAAAGAGCTTTATCTCTATCGATCTGGGGAGAGAGTGTGCTGTTTGAAGTTGCCAGAGTACATTTATAGGCTCTGTGCTGACCACGACGCTGGACCATGCAAAGTGGTCACAGTTGATGATTATTGAGAGAGATAACTGGAGCAGATGACGAATTTTAAAAAGAGAAATAAAGAGATTAAACAAACAGATCTACTTATCGCACATATATCTGTAATACTTTAATAACTGACATCATGATTTTAACTTGCATATATCAATGCTAATTAATGTTCTTAACTTTCATTGTATTCAAACATTTATCGTTCTTATTCGAGCTTAAAGGTGGTCTACTTTCACTCATATTTGCAATTTATTTATAAGAATTGGTCCGATTTATTCTAGCATATCCATATTGCCCTGTGCTGTTCCACTGTCCACAGCAGGGAGATTTGGCCTAGTTTCCATTATACTCTTCAAGCGCCAGTGAGAGGGAAGCCGGACGGTGGCCATGGGGATGCAGAGAGGGTCGGGATGGTTGATCGTCAGGATAAATAGCTCTTGCTTTTCAAATATGTTCAAGAATATTGAGACTCTACGTAAAACCCTTTTATGAACGGTGGAACGTGATTCAAGTTGTTGCCAATACTTTATCAAAATGTAGGAGACAGGCAGACAGGAGATTTGGGATCCACTGATGAGGGCCATAGGACTCTGATGATTGGAGTAACCTCTTGGTTTATACAGATGGAGCTTGCTCCTGCTGCCCGTTTTCCTTTCAACACTGTCTGTAGTTAGCCTTGCTCAAAGGCTTTACTGAATGAGTGAGTGAGTGAGTGAGTATGGTTTTGCGCCGCTTTCAGCAATATTCCAGCAATATCACGGCGGGGGACACCAGAAATGGGCTTCACATATTGTACCCATGTCGGGAATCGAACCCGGGTCTTCGGCGTGACGAGCGAACGCTTTAACCACTAGGCTACCTGACCGCCCCCTTTACTGAATGATAGCTCCATTGGTGTATATAGTAGTTCTACCTTTTTGTATAATAAGCAAGTCTATATAAGCGCATTCATCCCCTAGTGCATGTTGGGAGGTCTGAAATCTGCACTGAGACATTTTGGTCCTTGATAAGGGTTAGGAAATGTGTCCTAGTCGAGTGAACGTGAACTACATGATGATTGTGGTGTTTACATACATGTACATATAGTTTCTTAATCAATCATTAGCAATAACGATTGTCCAAGTTAATCAGTTTGTTTCTAGTTAACGCAAATCATAATATTTCATTAAAAAAATATCTGTTTAGTCCTGAATCAATTCGATTACTTTGTATCTGTTATCCGTCGACGCCTAGCCTGTCCGTTGTGTCTAGACAACTCTACTCGTGTTGTACATGTAGTGAATCCGATAACTGTACCTAAGGTTATTCTTTCTTTAAAAGTTAATATGTACATTATCGTTGTACATGTATGTGGACGTCCGCATACATTCGTGTGAAAAACAACAAATACACTACAAAAAAACTACAAATACACGACATTTAAGTGTGAAGAAAAATGCAGCTCCAAACAATGTAGACCGAGATAGGATAATGATCAATAGGAAGGAAGGATTGTGATAGTATCCATTGTCAGTTTGAAAATATGCATTGTAGTATATAGGCGATGCATCAGGGTAAGTTGTGTGAGGCAACTCGTGACTGAATTGAACTGATCGGGTTGTTGGCGTATCGATGTGCGACGGTGGCGTGAATCGTTTCTCTTGGTATCAATCACTGGATCGTTTGATTATCATTCGATTATTTACAGACCACCGTCATGATCGACCGTAACACACCCTCCCACCCACCACTCCCCCACTCCCCCACTCCCCCACTCACTCACTCATTCACTCACTCACTCACTCACTCACTCACTCACCAGAGTCGAGACTCAGGAGTATATCCGATTACACTGGCCCAGGCTGACCCCAGCGGGATTCCCTCTACGAGTTAATTCTCAATGCGATACTAACACCACCGTAGTCTCAGACCCTAGACAGTAAATTTGAAAGGCGTTTTACTCAAGTCTTCAAGGAGTTGGCAAGTCTAGATTGCCTCAGTCCGGCATTGAAATCAAGCAATGTTCTGGGATCCATTTGGATTCTATTTTGTAGATATGTCTGGGACATAACATTCCTGTGATGAAGCAATTTATATTATGTGGAATTGTTGTCCATTGTCCGAATCATGTAGACTGAATGTATACACGTACATACAAAACGTATAAGTTTACTGCCGTTCCAAGATTAGAGTTATTTGCCATCATTTACTTGTGGGCTTGCGTTTTGCTCCCCTGTTGTGTTCAGTTTGGCCCTTCTATCGGCGGATGCTGGCTTTTCTATATATCATGGCTAATGAATGTCTTAAGTGATAAAGAACCGAATCAGTCAGGGGTCCTTTATGCGCCTTATTCATGTTTAAACATATATTCTCTGTCAGATAGTTTTATATATCATGTATATCACGTGACTAAAGAAATGAAACTGAAAATGTCAACTGTAGAATGAGTGAGGGAGTGAGTGAGTATAGTTTTACTCCGCTCTTAGCAATATTCCATCAATATCAAGGAGGGGGACACCAGAAATTTGGCTTCACACATTGTACCCATGTTGAGAATCGAACCCGGGTCTTCGGCGTGACGAGCGAACGCTTTAACCACTAGGCTACCCGACTGGCCCTAACTGTACAATGGGCCATGTGGCCTTTAATACCAAATAAAATATCTATCAATCCATTTTATTCAACTGCTGATGTCTGTGTGCGTGCGTGCGTGCGTGCGTGCGTGCGTGCGTGCGTGCGTGCGTGTGTGTGTGTGTGTGCTGTTTAATGAATTACTGTATTTCTTTATATTTACATAAAACATATACTGTTTTGTGTACATATGAGATTTCAAAATTCTATAATATTAAAATTTATTCGATACTCTCAACGAAAATAACCACGATTGCAGATGAATATCTTTTAGACTCTATAGAAAAGAATTGGTAAATACACTTTCAGATTGTACACATTGATCATACCAAACGTTTCCAAGACCACTATTGAATAACAATTTGTTCACATCAGTGATCCAATTACTCTTTTCATTTACATCGTATAACATCATCATGTTGTAACATGACTTTCAGTTGTGAATATATAAATAAAGGAAATCTACTACATTTTCCATAAACCAGATGTGTTGTGTTTTACACCAATAATTCTTTTACATGCATCAAGGTGAACCTTTTCAATTTTTTTAAAATTATTTTAATCCCCATATTTCAGCACCGTTAAGTAAAATTGGGTTAATGTTAACATCAAAGATCTTAAAGAATAACTTGTACTTTCTGGATCGCAGTGGCTGTGAACGTAAGGGCATCATGATTGGCCTTAACACCTTTTAGTGCATTCTTAAATCTAGTGTCTACAAATTTCATAAAGGAAGAGAGATGGGAAGAATGTTGTTTTAGGACATTGGATAGGTTTATGTCATGTTTTGTAAGGGCGTTAATATGTTTGGCAAGCAAGTTGACATCGTCAATGGTGGCTGTACCAAACAATGTTTTAGAAAGGGACCCTACACAACTTAGAACTGCTCGTTTGGAGCGACTTGATGAGGGGACCTTAGATTCAGGGATGAGTTTAATGATTTGGTGCGTAGTTTCATTTAGCAGTGAAACATACCTGGTTTTGATGACGTTAAGGTGCATTTGGATTTGGTGCAGTATAGCACAAGTACCATTGCCTTGGTGGCACCACTCATGGTGGGAATGCTTGGGACATGGCGAAGCTTGACCTCGTAGGTGTGGACCCAGTATTCAGTTGCAAAATGGACTTGTGTAGTTGGCTTAAAAACTATTCCATAGTTGAGTCTCTGAAGAGGGCCGGTGCCGAGGGTAGGGCGGGCAAACAGAGCCATATGCCACAGGATAATCAAGCTCCTGGATGAACCTTTGATGAAATGAAAAGGGATCCATTAGAAGAGTTGGCCTGGTTGAGAAGAATATTGTGGCCACAAACACCTAAACAACCTAGCACTATAAGACACAGAACACTTGGTAACTGCAAAGGGATGGTCACTCATATCTTATGGCCATGCAATTCACGTCACAAAAGATATGGTGGTAGCTTGATAACACCTATGCAAATGAATCATTGGAAGTACTTATGTCCGTGTTTGCGCTTCTTACCAGACATTGTTCTGGATCTATGGAAGTGCTTGATCAGGGATGGATCAAGATTGGAGGCGGGCTCCCAGGTCGTTTCTGAGTAGCCCAACCACTTGATTTGGTACTGTTTGGTACCGTTTGCCATTTTGCATCTGATAATTTTGTCAACAGGATACGTTTGATTATCTTGAAATTTGTCAACCTGTTGGCGGGCAATGGATGGTGCAGAGCCTGCATCACTGATGTGTGGCTGTGGAAGAACCACCTGTGTGTCTGAGGATGTGTCAGCATCAGCAGAAGTGCTGGGAAGAGGAGAATGTGTGACGGTTCAGCAGAAGTGCTGGGAAGAGGAGAATGTCTGTCCGCTTCAGCAGAAGTGCTGGGAAGAGGAGAATGTGTGTCCCTTTCAGCAGAAGTGCTGGGAAGAGGAGAATGTGTGACGGTTCAGCAGAGGTGCTGGGACCAGGACAATGTGTGACGCTTCAACAGAAGTGCTGGGAAGAGGAGAATGTGTGTCCCTTTCAGCAGAAGTGCTGGGAAGAGGAGAATGTGTGTCCGCTTCAGCAGAAGTGCTGGGAAGAGGAGAATGTGTGTCCGCTTCAGCAGAAGTGCTGGGAAGAGGAGAATGTGTGTCCCTTTCAGCAGAAGTGCTGGGAAGAGGAGAATGTCTGTCCGCTTCAGCAGAAGTGCTGGGAAGAAGAGAATGTGTGTCCGCTTCAGCAGATGTGCTGGGAAGAGGAGAATGTGTGTCCGCTTCAGCAGAAATGCTGGGAAGAGGAGAATGTGTGTCCGCTTCAGGAGAAGTGCTGGGAAGAGGAGAATGTGTGTCGGCTTCAGCAGAAGTGCTGGGAAGAGGAGAATGTGTGTCGGCTTCAGCAAAAGTGCTGGGAAGAGGAGAATGTGTGTCCGCTTCAGGAGAAGTGCTGAGAAGAGGAGAATGTGTGTCCGCTTCAGCAGAAGTGCTGGGAAGAGGAGAATGTGTGACGGTTCAGCAGAAGTGCCGAGACGAGGAGAATGTGTGTCCACTTCAGCAGAAGTGCTTGGACGAGGAGAATGTGTGTCCACTTCAGCAGAAGAGCTTGGACGAGGAGCATGTGTGACGGTTCAGCAGAAGTGCCGAGACGAGGAGAATGTGTGTCCACTTCAGCAGAAGTGCTTGGACGAGGAGAATGTGTGTCCACTTCAGCAGAAGTGCTTGGACGAGGAGAATGTGTGTCCACTTCAGCAGAAGTGCTGAGAAGAGGAGAATGTATGACGCTTCAAGAGAAGTGCTGGGACCAGGAGAATGTGTGTCCACTTCAGCAGAAGTGCTTGGACGAGGAGAATGTGTGTCCACTTCAGCAGAAGTGCTGAGAAGAGGAGAATATGTGACGGTTCAGCAGAAGTGCTGGGACCAGGAGAATGTGTGTCCGCTTCAGCAGAAGTGCTGGGACCAGGAGAATGACGACCATGGTTGGGAGTGTGATCTGGAAGGTGGTCGTTGGGAGTGCGAACATTGTGGGCTTTGAGGCGATTGGCATGGATAAGTGCCTTGTGCGTCTTGTTCGTTTGGACATGTTGTAGCTTGAAGGTATGATTGGGACCAATCTCAAGTATGGTGTAGGGACCTACCCATTTAACTGACAGCTTCGGGGACCTACCAGGGAGAACATTGGAATTTTGCATCAGGACTAGATCACCTACTGAGAATTATGGATCTTTAGGTTTTGAGGTCAGTGCACTCTTTGTTGATTTCTTGATGATTATTGATGACAATTATTCATATGATACTTGCATTGTTTATTGTTTTACATTATTTTATAGCGATTGTATCATTGTGAATGGTATTTAATCATACATAATGTAATAAATTGTGAGCTGTAGCTTTCTTGGAATGATATGGAAATCAACATTTGTATATAAGCATACTCATTGTTGCTGATTAAACAGTTACAGTTTGCAGATAAATTGTAGATTAACATATACACAAACTCAATTGGGGCTGTAGTGAAGCGCGTTCCTCGCTATTTAAAATATAGTACCTATAAGATAAATCTTACACACAGCTTCTGGCAGAACTCGGGACTTTTATCTATATACTGTTTAAAACACCACAATCAGATTAATGTTTGCGTACTATACAGGTTGTGAACTAGACGCAAACGTCTCTAACGTCATCCGTCATTGATGTAAAACTTCACCAGCTGTTCAACAAATAGCGCACTGTAGGTAGTCCGGTCTCTATTAGTATAACACCTGCATTGCCTAGTTCCATTTCATGAAAATATTTCATGGTGTGTATCAAACAGTGTCGTACAAGGTAAGAAATTTACTTATTCGCAATGATATTGGATAATTATACAGACTACCTGAATGTATGATTGTTGTAATGAAGGGGCATTTAAAATGGATGTCATAGTCACAGGTTTCTGCAGAGATTCATGTTGGACATGGAAATGGTTTTGTCGCTTTATTTGACACACTCGTGCAATTTCTTCAATACGGTGTCACAATTACTCACTTCTAACAGTTTTTACTCGACGTGAATTATACCTTTGTTGTGCCCAAATGAAGGTGTCAACAAGTTTCTCTTTTCATCCGGTTGCCTTAAACCCTTTGAAGTTTGCGTCAATTCATTGAATTCTTGCTTACTCTTGGGGCCATATTGATAGATCCTTGTCTCATCACCCAGCACCATAAAACGAAAATATTCTGCTGGTTATGTGTTGGAGAAATACTAACTACTTGTACTTTGGGTGCCATTGTCGCCATGAGATTGAGACGCTTTGGCTTCCTTGTGGTTTCAGTTTAGTTTTCACTTTGTATTGATTTGTTTTCTGGTGGTCTGATGGTGCTGATAGTGTGATGTTTTGGGAGTTTGTAATTTCGAAAAGTATTAATCTTCTTTATCGATCTTTATCGATAGCAAATTAAAGAGGTTAGTAAAATGATGAACTTTGTTTTATTGCAACAAACATTGCTTGTGATATATTTAAAACCAAATCCGAACAACCTACCGACATGCTTGTGTATGAATTCATCCTGGTGCTGGCGATAGGCATATCATTCATGTCAAGCTCGTCATGTATTGGTATCACACGTAATTAATGATGCTGGAGGCAGGTGTATATAGAATTAATAATCACACTTAATTAAGTTTGTCAATGTTTTTTTGTTTTTATTTTACAGAACATCGCCATGCGATCCAAGAAGTGTCTCATCTGTTTAGCATTCCTATGCTTATGCAGTACATACCTCTTTTATTGTAAACTGAAGAGGGATTTCAGAATGGATTTGACAAGGACTTCACAAATTGCATCAGAAAATAATCACGATGATACCAGAAATGCTCCAAGACTCCAAAACATAAAACAAGGAAAGGATGGGTGTTGGGTCAGCAGGGAAAGTAACGGAGCCAGTAATTATACGGAGGCAGAGAGACGAGCAAAAGATCTATTTTTTGAAAGGTTATCACGGGAAGAGAGAGAGAAATTTAGGGACCTCATTAAAACCTTCAGTGAACGTGTGCCCTCTAACATCACCTACTTCATCTATGCAGGAGCTTTACTGGGTTCCTACTCCCATCACGGCATTATTCCCTGGGACGACGACGTGGACATCATTGTGAGGGAGAGTGACAAACCCGCATTGTTGACATTCCTGCAGTCCCTCCCACCAGAGTATGAAGTCAACGCTTCAGAGAAAATAAGCTGGAAATTGTCTCACGCAAATTCTCTCATGGCTGGTGGCATGAGCTGGAAATATCCATTCCTCGATATATTTTTTTACTCTGAACACCCTTCATACATACAAGATTGTAAAATTCGGGAAAAGATATACAAGAAGAGTGACGTGTTTCCCTTGATAACAAGGCCCTTCATGGGCATGATGCTGCCCGCTCCAAGGAACACCCGCAAAGTGCTGGATCTGCATTACAAGATTGATGTGTGTGTGTCGAATTCGTATGATCACAAACGGGAAGAGATTGTGCCATTGGAATGTAGGGCAAGAATTCCTTGTTCTGTTCTGAAAGATACGTTTCCATTTGTAACCAGAAAGATATCAGATAACAAAACTATTGAAGTGTTGGAAAATAACTACAACATCCCGGAACACCTGATATAATTCTGGTGGATGTGATCCACATACCAGTACATGTCTCCTATTCCTGTATCAGTGGAAAACTGGTGTGTTTTCATGATCCGGTTAGGTCTCGGATTTTTTAATTTAATGAAAAAGCTTATTAATGTCCTTTTAATTTTTCATGTATGATGAATTAGACATCACTGCTCTCGTGTAGAAGTAGACGTAGTAGAGGGTGAAGGTGATGTGGATGCAGTAGAGGATCACGCTGATGTAGATGTAGATGTAGTAGAGGGTCACACTGATGTAGATGTTGTAGAGGGTCACCCTGATGTAGATGTAGTAGAGGGTCACACTGATGTAGATGTAGTACAGGGTCACACTGATATAGATGTAGATGTAGAATAGGGTCACACTGATGTAGGTGTAGTAGAGGGTCACACTGATGTAGATGTAGTAGAGGGTCACGCTGATGTAGATGTAGTAGAGGGTCACACTGATATAGATGTAGTAGAGGGTCCCGCTGATGTAGATGTAGTAGAGGGTCATACTGATATAGATGTAGATGTAGTAGAGGGCACACTGATGTAGATGTAGATGTAGTAGAGGGTCACACTGATGTAGATGTTGTAGAGGGTCACGCTGATGTAGATGTAGATGTTGTAGAGGGTCACACTGGTGTAGATGTAGATGTAGGAGAGGGTCACACTGATGTAGATGTAGATGTAGTAGAGGGTCACACTGATGTAGATGTTGTAGAGGGTCACGCTGATGTAGATGTTGTAGAGGGCCACACTGATGTAGATGTAGATTTAGTAGAGGGTCACACTGATGTAGATGTAGTAGAGGGTCACGCTGATGTAGATGTAGATGTAGTAGAGGGTCACACTGATGTAGATGTAGATGTAGTAGAGGGTCACACTGATGTAGATGTAGTAGAGGGTCCCGCTGATTTAGATGTAGTAGAGGGTCACACTGATGTAGATGTAGTAGAGGGTCCCGCTGATGTAGATGTAGTGGAGGGTCACACTGATGTAGATGTAGTAGAGGGTCCCGCTGATGTAGATGTAGATGTAGTAGAGGGTCACACTGATGTAGATGTAGATGTAGGAGAGGGTCACACTGATGTAGATGTTGTAGAGGGTCACGCTGATGTAGATGTAGTAGAGGTTCACACTGATGTAGATGTAGATGTTGTAGAGGGTCACACTGATGTAGATGTAGATGTTGTAGAGGGTCACACTGATGTAGATGTAGATGTAGTAGAGGGTCACACTGATGTAGATGTAGATGTAGTAGAGGTTCACACTGATGTAGATGTATATGTAGTAGAGGGTCACACTGATGTAGATGTAGATGTTGTAGAGGGTCACACTGATGTAGATGTAGATGTAGTAGAGGGTCACGCTGATGTAGATGTAGATGTAGTAGAGGTTCACACTGATGTAGATGTAGATGTTGTAGAGGGTCACACTGATGTAGATGTAGATGTAGGAGAGGGTCACACTGATGTAGATGTAGATGTAGTAGAGGGTCACACTGATGTAGATGTAGATGTAGTAGACGGTCACACTGATATAGATGTAGATGTAGTAGAGGTTCACACTGATGTAGATGTAGATGTAGTAGAGGTTCACACTGATGTAGATGTAGATGTTGTAGAGGGTCACACTGATGTAGATGTAGATGTTGTAGAGGGTCACACTGATGTAGATGTAGATGTAGGAGAGGGTCACACTGATGTAGATGTAGATGTAGTAGAGGGTCACACTGATGTAGATGTAGATGTAGTAGAGGGTCACACTGATGTAGATGTAGATGTAGTAGAGGGTCACACTGATGTAGATGTAGATGTAGGAGAGGGTCACACTGATGTAGATGTAGATGTAGTAGAGGGTCACACTGATGTAGATGTAGATGTAGTAGAGGGTCACACTGATGTAGATGTAGATGTAGTAGAGGGTCACACTGATGTAGATGTAGTAGAGGGTCACACTGATGTAGATGTAGATGTAGTAGAGGGTCACACTGATGTAGATGTAGATGTAGGAGAGGGTCACACTGATGTAGATGTAGATGTAGGAGAGGGTCACACTGATGTAGATGTAGATGTAGTAGAGGGTCACACTGATGTAGATGTAGATGTAGTAGAGGGTCACACTGATGTAGATGTAGATGTAGTAGAGGGTCACACTGATGTAGATGTAGATGTAGGAGAGGGTCACACTGATGTAGATGTAGATGTAGTAGAGGGTCACACTGATGTAGATGTAGATGTAGTAGAGGGTCACACTGATGTAGATGTAGATGTAGTAGAGGGTCACACTGATGTAGATGTAGTAGAGGGTCACACTGATGTAGATGTAGATGTAGTAGAGGGTCACACTGATGTAGATGTAGATGTAGTAGAGGTTCACACTGATGTAGATGTAGAT